GTCTTGGTTCTTCATCGGTGCCAAGGTTAACTTTTTTTAAGGCATCAACTGTCGTTTTCACTCGTTCTTCAAGTTCAGGTGGAGCATCTTTCACATCTTCATCTTCTTGAGGGTCCCCATCACTAAAGGATATGTGATAACACGGTGAAACATCCTCCAATTCCGCATTATCTTCCATTGAAGATGGAATGCCATTCTCGACTTGTACAATAACATGATACGAAGAACCCACACTTTCTTCATCTTCATCACATTCCTTAGTATAGACCACAGTATATGGCTTTACCTTTAGTACTTCTTTACATGAAACCACAAGTTTTGTTTGTCGCCTCATTCTAGAAGGAACTAAACTTTGGAAATCCTTAGAGATCTCATGGATTTTAGGTGAAACGGGTGTCCTTATGCTTTGAGAATTTCTCCGGAACTTGTTCCCCTTCTTTAGTGGACCCAATCTTTCAAACACGGAGGTCTTCACGGGTGATTTTCCAAGTCGATCAAAGACAGAAGGCTTGTTAGAAGCGGTTGATTCATCTTCTACAGTGATATAATTGTTGCTTGCCCTCCTTATTGAGATGCGCACTGGTGAAAGTTGCTTGTATCCCAAACCTTCACGTGGTTGCCTCGTTGCAGCTTCTGATGGGAGTTTCCCTAACTTTGATGGCTCATTGGGATTGTATCCAGCTTTTGCAAATAGCTTGTAAGTGTTAGGGTCAAAACCCTTATCTGTTCGCTTTATAGGGAGTGCCACATTCTGTATATGATTTTGGGCTACAAACCCTACAAACAGCATTGAGGAAGACTTTACTGCCTCAATCCGTTTAACCAGAAGAGTTAACTCCTTTAGAATGTTAGCTTGGCGATTAGATGGTTCACCTTCATCTTTCTTCCTTTTAGGGACATATTGGAGCGCCGAACTTACTTTCTTGCCATAAGACGTAATATTCCCTCTATAAGATTTACTCACATTGGGTTGTACCTCCTTACTAACAGCTTTGGCTTCACCAATAGTCACCTCTTCTCTTTTAGTTGAGGGCTCTTTATTCTTGTTTTTCATGCCATCATCAGCTTTCAGCTCCTTCATAACGCGGTTCTTCAAGTAGAACTTTGCATCAGCGAAGTGTGACTCAGCCTCGGTGAATGGCTCATCATCAGCAACTACCGTCTTCTCGACTTCACCCTTGTAGTATTTTAAACATTGATGGTAGGTAGATGGAACTAATCTATTCTCATGCATCCAAGGCCTCCCAAGCAAAACATTGTATGAAGTCTTCGCGTTGATCACATGCAACCATGCACTTGATTGCATATCTTCAATAGTTATTCCCAGCCTGATCGCGCCTATGGCTCTTTGCCCCTCTTGGTTGAATCCTTGGATCATCACACAACTTTCTGAGAGTTAGTTCATGGGAATACCAAGTTCTTTCATAGTATGGATTGGCAAAATGTTCACTGAGTATCCTCCATCAACCAAAATCCGATTTACCCTTTCATCGCGCATATAGCCAACCAGGTACAATGGGCGGTTATGAGGAGTGTCACCTAGCAAAAGATCGTCATTTGTGAACGTGACCTTTTCCTCACAAGCATTAACTTCTTGAGGAGTGGACTCGATGGGCTTTTGCGAAGATGGTGCCAACGGTAGGTCATCACTCTTTTCTTCCCCTTTGTCAGCATGGCAACAAGAGGCATCAATGCCCTCATGGGAAATCTTCGTGCGGAACCAACTTGGTAAAAACTCCTCCAAGGTCACTGGATTTCGTGGCTTTTGAGGGTGGTGCATCTCCACTTTTGCTTTCTTCAAATGCCTAACTGGATTCTTTTTTATTGGTCTTTTTACCATCATCTTCCTTGTTGGTTGTTCTACTGATTCTTTTTGTGGGCTCCTTTTGTGGTGCCTACGACGAGTAACCAATGTCCAACCTTCATC